ACTGGATGCAGTGGCACCCCTCCTGTTGTGATAACCAGAAGAATGACTCCAGATGTTGCCAAGTGTCTTCCAGGGAGAAAGAAAATCACACCTGGGTAAGAAAGAGTGGTTCAGAGTTCATCAGTTACAACTGGGAAGAATCTTGTTTTAACCAAAAGAATATCGTCTATGCCACGATGGAGAACTAGCAGATATATGCACACTATTTCAAAGTTCCAAAGCCACACATCCCCACTCAGTGCGTTACCCACTTGCTCAAATATGTAAAAGCAAATCACAAGCTACTCCCCGGCCTTCATATAAGCAAAATTAAAATAACCAAATAATCTGTTAGAAATAGTGCTGACTGAACATGAACTGTATCTATAATTCCTTAGTTCATTAGCTCTGGGGCCAAGTTGGGAGAAAAAGAATTAACCACACAGAGCAGCGCTGGGGCTTTCTGCAGTGCGCTGTAAGACGCACTGTACTCAGATGGCCACAGGCAAGGGCTGCCCGTCTCATGTGCGAGGACACCTCCGCTTGCCACATGTAGGAGATAGAACGGCCCCCAAAGACACCCACCTCCTCCTCCTCAGAACCTGTGTGACTTGGCAAAGGGAACTCCGCAGACTGACAAGCACTCTGAGATGGGGAGGTTTCCTCAATAGCCCAGATGGGCCGGATGTAATCACAGGGCCTGATAAGAGGAAGTAGGAAGGTCAGAATTAGAGATATGAAGGAACAGACCGGAGTGACGGGGGCCACGAGCTGTGGAATGGAGGCAGCTTCTGGAAGCCAGAAAAGACAGAAAATGAGATTTTTCCCCAAGGACCCCTAGAGGGAGGTAGCTCTGGATTTTAGCAGTTGAGACCCCTCTGGTATACCGTCAAGTAGTAAGTTTCTATTGTTTAGCATTTGAAGCCATTGCTACAGCACTGCTTGGTTACCAGCTCCGCCTTTTACTGTCTAGCAGGGCAACAGTGGTGCTTGTGAAGCCCAAGCACTCAGGAGCTGTGTTCTGTGTAATACATTTAACAGAACTAGATGAAGCCACGTGATGTAAGCTGCTTAAGCTCTCGGTCTCCTCACCACTCCCCTTCCGCTGTGTGTGGCAGAGCTGAGGGGCACTGACAGACAGCCCATTCCACCGTGAGGACACCATCGGCCTGGCCTCTCTCTGGGCACCGTGCCGACCCTTGTTGTCAGAATGAGCACAGTGGGTTCTGTGGTAGGAGGAAGCCAGGAGAGCCCTTGGGTGATCTCGGACACTTTTTTCCGACAGGCCTCTAGTAGATACACGGCCTGTGGCCTCCTGGCAGCTGCCGCCTTTGTTGTCAGTACCCCAGGACTGGAAGCTGGGTGCAGGGGAAGTGACTCAGCAGGCCCTGCCTTGGGACACACACTGCACTGTGTCCACACAGGCAGTTAATGCTTAGCCAGAAATGCCCAGAATGCACCGGGACTTGGCAGGAGTGAGCTCAGGTGTAGCTGAGGTGGGGGAGAGGCATTGAGCAGCCAACCGAGCCTCAGCATCCGTTCCAGACATTGTACTTGGCCAGTACAAGAACCCTGCACAGTGTAGAGACACACACACCAAATGTCTTTTCTGAGACAGCCCACTGACAAAAGCAAAGGGCTTTTGATATGGCTTCCAGTGTTGGTCCAGGGTTGACCAGTGGGCTGGGAGAGGCACTAGGTTTCCCCTGCATCAGGAATACATGTACCTCTGTGGCTGTACTGTGTCCATGACCACATGCTGGCCTCATCTTCGCTGCAGACTCCCCACTCGCCCCAGGGCTGAGCGCCAGCGCATGTATGAACAGGTCACAGTTCCTACAGGCTACAGCTCCATAACCTCCTCCCACCCTGGCACTATCAGTGCACTATGCCCTAATCACTGAGGTAGTACCCCAGTTTCCTAAAACCCTGAGATCTTAAACTGTCTTAAGGGGAAGATGGTAACATGATCAACTAAGCGTTAAATGTGCACTTTCGAAGTCATACATAAAGGTCATACTCAGCACGTGTCATCACCAAGGACGGAAACATTCATCTGAGCTTTATCTGTACATCAGATTCACCGTGTAAGATGCTTTATACATACTTCCTCCTCTGGTCTTACCTTAAAGTAAATAAAAGCAAGTATTTTCCTCTCATACAAGCTTTCTCTCTTAAGGCGCTGGGGTTAAGAACCAGTCACAAGATGTAACTAGGCAGCCTGGTAGTTAACCTAAGCCTCCAAATTCCAAGGCCAAAACTCTTCCCCCTGCCCCATGGACTAATGAGTTTGCTTCTACTTGCTGCTTCTGTCTACTGGAAGACCCCCTGGCATTACCTTGACAAGGCATTTCAAGCTGAGTGCCATGTGGACCTCACCTTTCCCGGACTCCAGAGACAGCTTTTTGCTGGCAGCTCCTACAAGCAGTCATTGAAACAGCCAGAGGGCAGCCCTGGGGTAGCCTCAACCACAGGGATGGTGGGGCTTGTAATCCCAAGTTCTGACCCCCAGATGCTAGGCAAAAAATCTCAAAAACAGAAAGTGAGTGGCTGGTTACCCACCACGCATTTGTTTGGTACAAGTTGTGGTACATATTACATTCATCAAGGGGGGTTTGCACATATACATGACATTTCTCAATTCCTTTTTTTAACCCTCTCCCGCTCCTCGACCTCTCGGATAGATAATTTTTTAAAATACGTTTGTAGTACATGATCGCATTCCTCCCCCTTGCAGGACTTGGTGCGAGAACATAGCATTTCACAATCCCCCGTTTATTATTAATCTTTCTCTTCCTCCCCACTTCCTCTTTCTGTTCCATCCCCATATGCCAAAGATCCATCCTGCTATGTCCTACTGTCTATTCTTCATTTTGCACTTTAGCTATATACTGGTGTTCTCATGTAAGAGAAACTATGCAGCCTTTAAACTTGTGTGTCTGATTTCACTTAAACATTATGGTCTCAAAATACATGTTTTCTTACAAATGCCTCAAGTTTGTCCTTGATGGCAGAGTAGCGCTCCATGCATAATTTTCTTCATCATCTTTTGATGGAAATTTAGGCTGTTTCCAAGATTTAGCTATTATGAATTGTGCTGCTATAAACATGAGTATGCACGTGTCATTATACTACGATGTCTCTTCAGGAAGGTATTAGTAAGGGAACAGCTGGGTCAAATGGAATTTCTATTTTGTTTTTTGAAGACTCTCGGCACTGATTTCCATAGTGGTCATACCAGTTTACATTCCTACCTACAATGAAGGGCTCCTCCCCCACGAACCCACTGCTGCACCAGCATTTGTCATTTGACTTCTTGACTATAACCCTTCTTGAAGATGGAATCTCAGTATGATTCTAATTTGCATTTCTCAAATGGGCAGCAGTGCTGAACATGTCTTCGTCACTTGTATTTTCATCTAAGAAGTGTCTATTCATTTTTTGACTGGGTCTCTACATTTGAGGTCTAATTTTATTGTTTTTCACATTTCGTAGATAGTAGTCCTTAGTCTGACGAGCAACTGACAAAAACTTGTCCCATTCTGTGGCTGTCTCTTCACTCTGTTGCCCACCACACATTTCCGCACATGCGTGTGCACACGCACATCTGTTCCTGGATCCTTTCAGGCTGCGAGTGGTGAGCATCTTCAGACTCAGTGATGAGCCAGCACACACGTGGCCACCTCACACAAGCTGCATGCATGTGCATGCATTTGCACACACAGACCATAAAATTTAAGGAAATTTTGGCAAAGAATTGAAAATGAGAAAGCATGACAAAGAGTGTTTCCCAATGAAACCTTTGATAGAGAAAGGCAAAAATGGGTTTATATCAGCAGAGAAAGCTTATGATCAAAGGGTTTTGTCCAAATGGGCGTATTTGCAACTCTACACTAAGAATATTAACACACCAATTTCATAAAATGTATTTATTTTGGAACAGAACACATTAATAAGCAAATCAATAATTTAGCTTAATTAGAAATTATAATGTACAATTTAAGATATTAAATACAAATTCCAAATTTAAATTCTTAAGAAATTTTATGATTGATTACTCCGTTAGAACCATAGTTTGAGGGATTTATTCCTGCATTAGGCTAATGATTAACTCCTGACTCCCTGCACTGTGATGAAGACACAATATACTGCAGGCAGACTGAACAAATCATTCAACAGTTGATCATACCTTCAATAAAGTGAATTACATTCCCTCGCTGAGTAAAGCTCAAGTCTCCAGTCCTAAGTAGTGGAAGCGATGTCCCTGCAGACTGAGCTCCGTGGTCCAGCAGGGCACTGTCCAGCAGGGGACACCACATCCCACAGAACCCCCTCTCTCCACCTGGCTGTGCCTCAGGTCTTGGCCACAGAAGGCTTTGATGATAATTATTTCTCACTGGCTCAGGAGATCCTCTCATCATTTTCCTTTCCTTTCAGTTTGACCAACTGAGTATTTTTCTCCAAATTTCTCCTCATGAGCCCCCATCTCTGTGCCTCATGAGGCTCTTCCGTCCCAAAGTCCTAATATTTGGCTGAATTTTTCAGAAAGCGATCTTTCTCAATTTTGAAAGACCTGTCCTTGAAGACCTATTAACTTGCAACATTAAGGTCCTGAGAGGTAAGTATTTTTATAATTACTATTAAAGCACTTTAAAAATTCAAGTTAGGTTACATAACATGTAGCTGTCATTCAACACCACATGAATGAGCTGATATTCGCATAAAATAAGCTAAGATCTTCTAGGAAGCCTTACGATTTAGAAAATGCTTTGAGTGCTACTAGTTACAAGCAGTATTTGTGAATGGCCACACAGACTGTAACAAGCCAGGAGCCTCCCAGGTGAAGGAGGACGAGAAACGATGAAGACCAAGTCTGCCCAGAGGGCCAGATTCTAGAGGCCAACTCTTCAGGCAAAATGGGTGAAGGGCATCCACTAATACCGTAGGCATTTTTTTTTTAAGTTGAGACAGCGTATCACTATGTAGTTCAGGCTGGTCCTGAACTCACCATGTAGCTCAGGCTGGCCAGGAACTCACAGCGATCCTCCTGCCTCAGTCTCCCAAGTGCTGAGACTACAGGCATGTGCTACCACATCTGGATGTGACAGAAATGATTCCCTCATGGTAAGTTCGGTAGGCTAAACTTATTCAGAAGGACAGATTTCTGAAATTTCAAAACATTTACTTGCACTCAATACACTCTACAGAAATAAGGAAAGATTTGTCCTGAAGATCCACTAACTTGCAATTTGAAGGTCAACTGCAGTGCCTCAAACCTCAAAAAGAGCGGGGAAGATCTCACCTCACCTTACTTCTGTGGACTACAGACAATCACTGTGGGCCCTGGAAAGTGTTAAGCTCTTGGAAGCTTCACCAAATAATGGCACAACAGAGCAGGAAATGAAGTGTCCAATGAACTGGATTCTATGAACTAAGCAGGTTCTGAGACCTCCTTATACCGCAAGGAGTATGGATCTCACTTAACACACTTCACCGCCCACCAAGAGTAGGTTCTCAGAATATACTATTAGGGGGTGTTCAGATTTGGCTGAAATGGGGAGTTTTATTAATCATGAGTGGCAGTAACTGTTAGGTCTGATCACACTGAGTTAACATATTTCTGATTTTGGTACGATTTAAAAATTACTGGTTCCTTAACCATTGAGTACGAAAATAATTCAGTAGAGGCAACTAGGAGGTTAAACGACGGTTCTTTAGTGGTATCCAACCTGGAGAGAGAAAAAGGAGATTCGGGTTATTCTGCTGATTTAAAAACACACTCAAAGCCAACCATGGAACATGAGCTCAATACATGGATTCTAATAAAGGTATCCTGTGCTGAGCGAACCTGAATGCACTATAAAGAAAAGGACGACATATATCCCTGAAAAGCCTACGTGTGTTATGACCTGAAGACAAAGGATTATGCCCATCCTCAACAGTAAGAATACACATAGTGATGCGGGCTACATTCTGTCCAAAATCAATGAGATAACATTCTGTCCAAAATCAATGAGATAACAGCAGAATAGAGATGGACTGAAAATACTCATTTACTTGGAGCACGCCTGTAATCCCAGCACTCGAGAGGCCGAGGCAGGAGGATCGTTGTGAGTTCCAGACCAGCCTGGGCTACAAAGTGAGGTCAAGGCCAGACTGAACTGCACAGTGAGACCCTGTCTCAAAAAGACAAAAAACAAAAACAGAAAAGAAAATACTCATTTACTATCCTGGCACTGTAAATAGGAAGTTGAAGTCTCTACATGAAATTTGAAAGCTGTTAAACAAATTTGTTTGTAAAATTCAAAAGTAGTAATCCACCTGACTAAAGCTGATGAAATTCTACTATAACCTCAAAGTGTAACTGTCTTTTCTGTCAAAGGGCCAATGACATTTATCAACTTTAACCTATGATATTTCTTCACCTTTTAAAACCTAGACCACTTAAAATGTTTTCTGTAGCTTGTAAGTTTTATATGAACTTTACTTTGAGTATTTATGTCCCAAAGCCATTCCAATTCTTGTAAAGTAAATTCATAAAATTTAAATCAGGGCTGCAGGTAGAGTTTAGTGGTAGAGCACTTGCCTAGCATGCACGAGGCCCCAGGTTCAATCCCCACCACCATTAAATAAACACATCCAAACATATAACAAACTAAGTAAACTATTAAGTATAAAAAAGGCACTTCAGAAAAAGTATTTATAATTAAAATAAATCGACTCCTTAAGCTATCTCATAATGCTGGCAGAAAAAATCTAGAATGTTCACAACAAAAAGAGCAATGATAAATGGGTGAGGTGATGGGCATCCAGTTACCCTGATATCATTATAAATTGTATACAAGTACCCTGTATGCCATGACTATGTACAATTATCCTGTACCAATAAAATATATTTCTAAAAAGATTGAATAAATATATAAATCTAGATACTTAAAAAGTGATTTGATAAAAAAATTAAAAGCTTACAGAAACAGAAAAGCAAAGAAAAACAAATCTGCATGTGGTCCCAGAATGAATAGGAAAAAAATAACACAGGCATCAGCTAACAGTGTAAGAATACAGAGGAGCTGAAAGTCACGGGAGAAATCACTGACACCAACCCCCTCACTCTGTAGCTAACGCTCAAGTGACAGCTCAGAAAAGTCTCACCCAAAGTCTTTTGTCAATAACGACGCCAAAGGGGCTGGGGATTCAGCTCAGCAGCACAGCGCCTGCCTGGCAAACGCAAGGTCATGAATTTGATTCCCGGTACGGGGGGGGGGGGGTGGAGGTGGGGGTGGGGGGGACCACGCCAAGAATCAAACCTATATGTTCTTGTTGCCAGCTAAAAGTTGTTCTATGATGCTGCTTCTCCAGGTCCCAAAAGGAAAAGACCTGTCGATAAACTTCACAGAACTCAACCTGCCTAGCACAGTTCACTGCATCTAACAGGCCCTCCTGAGGACAAGGCAGGTGTGCATAACACAGATCAGCCCGTCTTGCATACTATCCAGAAGGCTGAGAATTCCATCCCAGCCAAGAAGATGCGCATCAAGCCACAAGATCAGTGTCTCAGAAAAAACATCAGACAGGCAGGTAATGACTGAAACACAACCATGCCTCTAATCACACCTCTAGCCTCATGAAGACATACAGCAGAAAGCTCCCAAACTGAACACTGTGCTTTGATTTATGTTTGAAATTTGAAATTCTATGAATTCCAAAGTCAAACCTTTTTTAAACAAATCAAAACAACAGAGATTTTTAAATTATACTCAAATTATGAAGCAAAGAATCCAGTGTGTAAATGGCTGCGCTGGGCCGGAATGAGCTGGCACTTCTTCCGGGAGAGCTGAGGCGACAGGGAACAGGAGTGGGACGCGCACAAGGCCGCTCATTTTCTGGAAGTGATGCAGGGCGGCGACTAGCCATCACCCTCACACTCCTCTGAATTCCTAACCACTCAGCCCCACCCTTATAAGTAAACTGAACGGTAACCCTGATACTCCAGGCCAAGGTCACAAATGTCTACAAACAAATAAGTTAAACACTTTCTCACTCTTTTTTTTATTTCAAAATGATCCCTAAGCCTCTAGCTGTACAAAAACAAGAATAAGCCCCAAAGAGGCCCATCTTACACATAGAAAAAAACAAATAAACAAGGAGCTCCTACCTCACTCTTAACAGACAGAGCTGGGCTTTGAAACTTCCTGCTCGTCACTGTTTACTGGACCAAAGCAGTCCTCGAACTATCAGACAGAGCAACAGGGCCTTTCTCCTCAGCAGAGCTTGGTATTTCTGAGAAAACCCAAATGATTTTAAATGCAACCAGTACCTCCAATTCCACGAGTATCACCAATTTCATACTGTAAAATTAGCCAATCCTCTTGCAAATTTTAAACAAAATATATAGATAGTAAACATAGCTACTTCTGCTACATGTTGTTTCCTATCTCTCCCATGCCCATTCTTCACTGGTGCTGTAGATGTTCTCAGTGGATCCCCTCAGCCCTCTGGCTGGCTGAGGGCTCCTAAAGCATAATGGTCTCACCCCATTCCACTTTAACTTTCATTCTGAGTCCCTCCTTCACCCCAGAGATACAAAAACTTCCAAGAGAAGGTGACTCTCACAAGGGCCTCTTTGGAAGCCCACATTTATAATAACCAATGACCAAAGACAAACTATCTCATAGTCAACTTTGGAGGAAACACTCAGGCCAAATAAAGCATCCCTTGCCAAAGTTGTTTTACCACCACACCACCAACCACAGAACCTCTCCACCATCCCCACGACACGCTGATTTCGTGTGCGTCCAAGAACAAAACTAAAGCTGAGTAGGGAAAACTAATACCAAAAGAAGCACAGGGCTGACCATTGAGGACTCCATAAGCAAGCTCTCCAGTGTTATAAATTCTAAGAACAAAGGTCAACAAACTTAATCTGTAATAATCTTGGCTATGTGGGTCATTTAGACCCTACCACAACTATTCAACTTTCCCATGCTAGCAAGAAGGCAGCTGAAGATTACAACAAGATTAATCAAGATTATAACAAGATAACAAGTGTGGCTGTGTACCAAGGACTTTATTTACTAAAACAGGTAGTTAGCCAGCAGGCTGTAGTTCAGCAACCCTGTTTGAAACCAAAAGCTAATGTAGAGTCTAGATCAGTGGTGGTGAATCTATGCCACATACGCTGATTTTCTTGTAGAACAGAAGATGTTAACGTGTGAGTTGTTTTTTCTAAACTAAAACCTCAGTATCCAGGTTTATTTGCAGTGTTGGCACTCTGCAATAAATAAGTGGGTTTTGGGTTGCAGTTTGGGTTCTCGTCTCTAAAAGGTTCGCCATCACTGGCCTAGAAACAACTAATTTATAAAATAAAGGGACTCTAAGAACAGAAGAGCAGTACATCTGGCAGCTACTCAGAAGCCAGCACTTCTTGAGGGAAGCGGACTCCTCACCTTGAAGAACACCGCTGCCACCGCGCACAGGAATGTGAGCAACAGGAGCCCGAGCTTCCCTTTGTTGAACTGCTTCAGCAGCAAAAACTTCGCCAACTTCACCTTTGACTGGCTGTTGGGTGGGTACCTGAGTTTGTTGGCACCTTCTCTCTTCAAACTTTTTAATAAACAGGAGCGATGATGAGAAAAAGTGTCAAAACTGTATTTTCCATGATATGCCCCCATCCCACTGGAACCTAAATAAGGAAAGAGACAAAACAGGTTTCACTGCAGGTGTCACAGGCTACCTCTTCATCTCAACAGAAAGCCCGTACGCACACACTGCACCAACCCAACTTCTCCTGCATAAGTGTCTCTTTTGAGGAAACCCTTCCAACTTTATCCCTGGCATGGCCAACATACCTTTCAACCAGGATGCTTTCTTAGAGCAAGGCAAGAATTTGTTGTTTTTTTGTTGTGGTTTTCCTTTATGCCAGAACTATACTAAGAGTTTAAATTAACTCTCTATGATAATTTTCACCACAACCCCACTGTGTTCTGTTATCATCAGCACAGTTCCCAAAGCAGAAAGAGGAGTTTACAGGATCAGTTAATCAGCCCACGGTCATATCCCTAGTAAAAACTGAAGCCAGACTCTGAACCCTGATCAGTCTGACTCTAAAGTTCAAAGTGTGCTCTTTTCCCAGTTTTCCATGCAGCTTTACTTGTCCACGGTCCCAACTCACCCACCTGCTTCCTCTATCCCCTGGACAGTTACAAAGACCAGGCTGACAGTGTTATACAGTTGTGTAACAATAAGCAAGTGAAAATCTCTGCCCTCTAAGAAGCCAAACTCTGTGACAATGTTCATTTCTCTAACTCACTATCTGCACAACAGACTGACAGGGGCAAAGGGAAGAAAAGGGAGCAGAGAGCATAATTGTCACACGGTGGTGGAGGCAGGGCAGCTGGAGTTGGGGCAGTTTATTGGGACTGGGCCCTGGTGAATTGGTAGCTGGAGATGCAGGAAGGTATCATTCAGGAAACAAGACTGGCTGGAGAAAAGATCGGAGGCTGGAGTCCTGAGAACTCTGACCCTACGGGAGTGCAGAAAAGGAGTGGCCAGCCAAAGACATAATCCTGGTAGGAAGTAACTGGGGGAAAATGTATAAAGTGCTGAAGGAAGAAAAACTGGGTGAAGATACTTAAATGGAAATGAAAAGTAAAGAATGAGTATGAAGAAAACTGTAAAGCTTTATCGATGGATATAACACAGCTATATAAATGAAGAGGTAGTGCAAGGTCCTGAGTTCGATCTTTGGTACCAAAAAAAAATGAAGGGGTGAAGTATGTTCCCCATAACACTCCATATTTTAATAACATAAATTCTTCCTGAAATAATTTTTTAAGTTTAATCAATTTTAATCAGAATCCCAAGGGACTTTAAGGAACTCGTTTGAGTAGGAGGAGGTAGTGAGTGATTTAAAGTGATTTAAAGTTCACACGGAAGAATTAACAGGCAAGAAAACATTGAAAAGTAACAATGAGGGACTCACTTCCAGATACTGCACCAGTACTGTTCCTGAGGAGTGAACTGCTGGACTGGCTGAACATGTGGCTTGCAGAGATGGGCAACTTAGGCTTGGTCCCTGGCTCTACTAGTACTGGTCTCTCAAAGGCATGCACTCAGCGCCATACTTGATACACACACTGAATGCTAGCTACAAAGCTAGCGATAAAGCTACGGTAATTAAAACTGTGGCACTGGTCCAGAGAAAGACAAGCTAGAAAGACAATGAAACCAAAGAGGAAATCTAAAGAATGACCCAAGTATGTATTTTTATTGAGTACAGATGACTCAATGATTATTATTTTTAAAAAACGGTCTTACCATAGATTACTCTTTGGAAAAAAAAAAAAAACGTAGATTGTTACTCATGAATTATTCCAAAATGAACTCCAAAGTTAAAAGTAAAAGAAAAAAATAGAAAATTTAAAGAAACTACAGATGAATACTTATATAACACTGAAGTAGGGAAGACCTTTATAAACCAAACAGGAAGCCAAAGGTCTCATAGGTTTGACTAGACACAAGTTTCAAACCACAGTTAAAATGAAAGACAAGTGCTCGCTTTGGCAGCACACATACTACAATAAAAGACAAAAGGCAATTTGTAAAGAAATATTTGTTAGAGATGACCAAGAATTTTCTTACTTATAAAAGGCCACTTACATATCAATAGGGAGGGGTCAACACAGCAAAAATATCACGTAAATGCTGTAAAAAGAAAATCATTTGAGAACTGTAAAAGTTCAACCTCACTCATAATAAAAGGAGTACAAATTAAAATGAGACGCTTTACTTGTCCAGCAATTTCATAATGGATAACAGTGTTGGGGAAATAAATGGACACTCCTATACTGCTTATGCCAAAATATTAATAGGGTTTACACCTGGAAAGTTATGGCATTTTTTTCCTTATAACATTCTGTGATATTGTGTTTGTTTAACTGCTTAGACTTCTTGCCATTAAGTGTGACACTTTCAGAATTAGAGCTGGGCATGGTGGTACACACCTACAGTCCCAGCACTTGGGAGACAGAGGCAAGATCACCAGGAGTCCAAGGTTAGCCTGGGCTACATAGTGAGCTCAAGGCCAATGTGGACTACATAGATTCTATCGCAAAAGCAAACAAAAAATAAGTAAGTTCAAGGCCAGCCTACAATACATAATGAGTTCAAGGCCAGCCTAAACTACACAGTGAGATCTTATGTCAAAAAAACCCAAAAAAACAAATAGAAAAAAAAATTTCACTTTGGAAAAAAAATACAAACCTTTCTACTGTGTCTATTTCGTGACACTTTCCAGAAGATATAATCAGAGACTGCACAGGTATATTACATAACACTTATAATACCAAAAAGATTAAAATCAAAATAATCTAATACTAGGAACTGGTTACAAAAATGTGGCATGCCACATAATATAACAGCACACAGTTCCTAAGATCATGACGTACAAGCATACTGACATGAGAACATCCACACTATCCTGTGTCACATGCATAGTAGTAATCAAGACACAGTAACATACTATTTTGAATATTCAAGTATCCATGTATGTATATGCACGTACACATATGTGCAAGACAAACACACCATCTTTATATAGTGGTGTAAAATTTGACTTTTAGGTTCTTCAGTCTTTTCTAAGTTTTCTTAAGACACCTGTATGGCTTTTGCATTGGTGGAGGTGTTAAAAAAGATGGTATGGTCCACAATACCACATGTAACCTAGCCAAGACGGATGTGGACTGCCAGTCACTTAGACTGTGGAACAATGATAGTCACTGGCTGCAGTAGCACAGTGGGGGCCAGGATCCTGTGGGAAGAGCTCAGGACCTAAACAAAGATAACAATTGCTATCAAACCCTTCAAGGATGTGGGCTGCCAAAGTGTAGTTACTTCAGCCAATATCCCCGGAATCATTCTTGTTCTCATTAACCCTCTCCTCCCCATTCACTCTATTAGGAAATCCTGCTATCTGACTCCCAAAATATCTCCTCCCTTTCTACCTTCTCCAGCCAGGATCTGGCAGTATATACCAACCAGTTTCTCCACATCTGTCTCTCACACAAGCCAGGCACTGTGCAGTGTCTTGGCAAGATGTTTACATCCCAGAAAAGGACCTGTGGCACACATAGGCATGAGGCCAGGGTTCCTTGGCCACGGAATAAGGTTTACTTAATCAGGAACAAATGATCCTGCCAAACTGGACCATTCAACCCATAAAATAATTTATGCTATTATAAATGGAGAGAATAACTTTTTAAAATAGTTGCTCACTATTAGAAGAATTTTTCCACATTGGTCATTCCGTAGTATCTCTACTAGACAACAGAAAAGCCTACCACTTCGGTCTCACAGGAGAAATAAAAAGGCAAGGCAATCATCTCAGCTGGAGAGAGGGAAGCAGGTCACACCCAAAGGTAATGGTCATGATGCGGCTGTGTCTACCATGACTGACTGAAAATGTCTGTCCTCCTGCTCATCCTCTTGCTGTCCTCAAATCCAGGAATATGCAAGGAGTGGCTGCCCCTCCCTAGAGGCTGGGGAAGCAGTGCAGATACAACTGATTACCACTGGAAGTTACCTTGAGTGAGAAACACAGGAACACCAGAAAAGCCTCTGACTGCTATCTTTCCTTGTTGGGATGCTTTTTCCACTACCTCCTTTAAAGACAGAGAAAGAAAGAAAATATCACCCTACTTTGAGACCTGATTCTTGACCCCCAAATTTCCTAAATTTGGGAGGCAATAAACAATAAAGCAATAAATTAAACAAAGTAACCACAGCTATGGGCAGTGCTACTGAGAACAGAAAGAGTGAAAGGACAGATTCACCCTGAGGCAAACAAGGGTGCAGGGAATCAGGAAGCCACTGCCAACGGGGCAGCACGGGAAGGCCTCTCTCAGGAGTAGACAATCAAGCCGGAACCTGCCGGAATACGCAACAGCCAGCTCTTTCAACAGCCTGCACAAATGACTTGAAAAGCACAGTGCTCCTGAGAGATTTACCAGAAGCAAGAAAAAGTAATACTCACCCACTCCTCCAAAGGGCAAGGCATTGAGTGTAAAATGCATGATGACATCGTTGACTGTGACACCACCACTGGATGTCTCATCAATCATCCGTTTGATAAGCTAAGGAGCAGACCAGAGGGGTCCTGATTAGTGACACCTGTGCCTCAGGGCATGCTACATCTGTGCCCTGGGAACACACATCCTGGCTCTGTATGCCAGTGGAAGTTCTGAGGCCTTGTTAAATTATGTTAATTTAGCAAACATGATTGATATTTAATTTCTTAAGATGTACATCCAGTACAGGTGACACATCTGAATCTCAAAACCCCAAATCTGAAATGCTCCCAAATACCAAACTTTTTAAGTTCCAATCTGATGCTACAAGTACAAGATTCCACACCTTGAAATTTTGTTTCACGAACAAAATTACTAAAGATATTGTATAAAATTATCTTTAAGATATACGTATATGGTCTATAGAAAACAAATGAATTCTGTGTTTAGAGTTGAGTCCCATCCCCAAATTAATCTCACTATGTACACGCAAATATTCCAAACTCTGAAATCCAAAGCATTGCCCGAGCCCAGTACTTCAAGCTGTGTATCAACTGACTTCGCCTGAACCTTCAAGTCTTTCACAAGAACACCACCGAGAGCTGTACTCCCCACAAAACAGAAGCAAAGGGCTCTTTATAAGGGATAGTTCAGACTACAGTATATTCCAGTCTTTAAAGTATTATTTCTCAATCTCTACTCTAAATTATAGCATATGAAGATAGGTACTAGTCTTTATGAACTGCAAAAAGTATTTAGGATCTTAGATTTAGCATCCTATTTCTTTAAGAAATAAGTGGCTGATTAGCCCAAGGACCAAAAAGGCACAATGACACCAGACTTGTAAAAGTTACTTCACCTACGTGCCATAAAGCTCTTGACAGACCTTCACGGCAAGGGTCAAGTTTGGGCTGCATGACCTCTGGTGACCCACTGCTGGATAATGCCCCGACTGAGCTGCATCCTGGCCAACAGACTGCAGGCTTCAGGGTTCCCACTCCCCATATACCTACGGTCACTTTACATGGCAGGTCACTGGTGTATGAGTAACAGTCTTTACTAAGTCCCACACACCTGTCTCACTTCAAGTATCTATAGCTAGCTGTATCTGACTAGCACTCAAAGCTCAGCAACTCCTACATGACATGCTCCTACTTTACCATCAGGAGTTCTCCAGAAAACATCTGCCTTATGAACTTCTCATGACTGCTCCTACCCTTCCCCTTCTCATCTGTTTCTTCAGAACCTACTTGCCACCATGGAGGCCACTATCCATTAACTACACTGGCAACACAGCTGAGCCGTGCAGAAAGCAGCAAAACTGCTCAACCACGGGAAACAGCTCTGCCAGTGTAACAATAAGGTAATCTGAGAAAATGAAAGCTAGGCTACCGCAACCGCTCAAGTGCCAAGATTTATCCTTACACAGCCCCTTATGTGTAGCTGTGAATGCCACTTTGGTCACAGGGTTCGGTATACTCTTTCCGAGCAAGCCCTGTGGATTCCTGTCAGAAAATCATTGAATGATGGCACACTTAAGTTTCTAATTACACAGGAGCTGCGTCTGAATCAAAAGCTTTGCGCCACTCACCCTTGTGGACTCAGATCTAATCCCAGGGAGTAGGGGAAAGGATACAGTGATCATTTCCCAAGACAACAAGCTATGAGTACAAACTCATTAGGTGGACTGACACACACGTAAGCTATTATTTACTTTTCAGCAAAGAAAAATTTGGCATGACAGTGAGCTATTCTCTATAAAGGTTACCTTATTGTTATGAGAAAATATATAGAGAGCCAGGGGCTTTTCACGTTCGTTTATGAAGCTGATGGCTTCATCTGCATTTTTCACAGGCACTATTGGAAGAATTGGGCCAAAAATTTCTTCTTGCATCACCTTGGATTTAGGATCAACATCAGTAAGTATCGTTGGGGCTAAAAAGAAAAACAGACTAAAATGAAAACACTAAAGTAGAAAATAAAAATGAAAAACTCTCAACTTAAATGTTTCACTGGGTCACCTATCACTCCTTCCCACATCCAACTTACATTTTTAAAACAGTTCTCTTAGCATGTGCCAGTCCTCGGGTGGATTTCCAACAAAAAAGAGTCCTGAGTAGGGACTGACTGGTGCAAATGTCTCTTCAAAGCAAGTGAATCAGGATTCTTGTGCAAACCAAGAGAAAGATACATACTCAGATGTATCTTCTTTCTTGTCCACATTTAACCCCGTTCACAGTGATGAGCATATTTAACCAGAGGTTATATTTGCATCTTTCCAAGTCTTTCTGAGAGCACAGATAGTCTGAATCAAATCAACAGTGCTTCTTCTTAAATCAAACTTTCTGTACATTGTCTCATTAACCTTTACTATAACTATTAAACAGATAAAGATTAACATGCTCAAGTGAGCAAGACTTTCTCCTTCTCCTGCTCAGTTCAGAGCTCTGTCTAGAAAGGGAAAGCAACAAAGAGAGAGTAAAAGGGACAGTGAAGAAGCTCAGCACAGGGCCCCAGTGTCCACGCCAATGTCGGGCACCAACCAGTAGAACCCCATAAACACAGCACATCACCAACTAAGAGAAGACTTCTGGCAATAACAAGTTGACTCTTCTGCTTTCCTCTAGTTTCTACCAGGTGATCTGGACAACTCTATGCAGCACACGCCATGAGGACGTAAGCGGTTCTCCAAACCCACTGCCCACGTTAGGTCACAGAACTGACTGGGTTTGCACATCCACCCGCTGTGCATAATCATGTACTCAGTGGAACTCCTAATTAAACCAAGCTAATCACAACAGACCTTTGCTCTTGCCACTGGTTAGCCTAGAAAGAGGCAAAGCTGCCATGACAGAGATGGGAAAACAGAAAGATGAAAGAATTGGCATTTTGGGGGTTTGTTTTTGTTTCTGACAGTATGACTAAGCCACTGAATTACCCAGATTAGGAGTGCTAAGGACTGCTCGTTGTAAGAGAATAAACTCATTATTTAAATCCTTTACATTTTTTATTTTTGTTGTTTTGTTTGTTTTCTGAACCATAGTTCTCGCTATGCAGTCCAGGCTGCCCTTGAACTCACTATGTAATCTGGGGAGCAATCTTCCTGCCTCAGCCTTCACAGTGCTGAGACTCCACACATTTGCCACCACACCTGGCTCCTTTTGTTTTTCTGAAGCTGGGGGTTTGGTGTGACTTGCAGCGTTCTCTCTGATAAGGGGATAAAAAAGCAATCTGGAGCAGCTTCTTTGCCCACCAAATGTCTTCACTTCTTCAGTCACTTTATTACGTCATTTTATAAAAATGTATTTAAATTTCAAAGTAATATACCTTCATGGCAAAAAAGAATCAAAATATACAAAGAAGGTAAGCAAATAATCAGGCCAAGCACAACAGATCAAAACATATCCAGACTGGTCTGGTCATTGGCTAATTGCAGAATTGTGGTGAATCCATTTCCTTCTTTGTGCTACTTTCCAGTTCATGAGCCAGAGGTAATTCTATAAAGTTCTATTCTGCTTCTCAGATGAGTAGAACTTAGTTGTTAAGAGGAAAAAATTAGATAATATATGTATAAATATAAAAAACTAATGCAATACAGGTGGTATTATTAAACATGTATACATATACCAACTTAATAGCTTTTAAGAAAAGTAGTATATTAGAAAAAATATTCAGTCATTTAATAATAAAACACTATATAAATAACAGTTCACTTAGGGTCAATAAGCAGAATCAGTAGAACCACCAACTGCTATTTTCCCACAGAAAAAGGTGAATTTCTATTACCTATGTAGCGTGTGGCCTCATCAGTCTCCCCACCAAAAGCTATCTTTTGTCCTTCAATCAAGCTTTGTATCCTCTTAAAGTGACGAAGATTGATGATCCTTTCATAATCAGGAGATTCTTTTATATTTTCTCCATAAAATTCCTATTAAAATAATTCAAGTTGTCACAAAGACCCACATTTCAATTTTCTTTAAATTCTAAATTCATCCATTCCTAAAATCAACCTGTTTCTGTATCCACAAAGACTCCAACACTCTTCTCCCCCCAATATTTAGAAGTAATACAGTGGCAGGTTTATGCTTTTTGGCAGTAAAGGACAAGAAAATAAATCACCCTCTCCCAACAGATCTATGGCTTCTCAAATTTTCATGAGGTTCAGTGGGTCTCTTGCCACCTACCCAATCCTCCTAGGAGTGAGTGTGGCAGTGGGTGACAGGGAGGAACCCTGGCTCTGCATCTGGGCCATCCACTTGGATACACACCGGCTGTGGCTGCTCTTTCCCTGCAACAGCTGCTGAGACAATCTGATCTCTAAACCTTAAAATATTTACTATCCAGCCCTTTATAGAAAGTTTGCCAGTCTATTTATTTGGTTGGTCTGTGTCTTCTCTGGACCAGTTTTTCCACCAGTCATGGATGACAGTGAAATTACTGTCAGGATACAGCTTCCAAGAAGCATACAATCAGTATTTATTACGTAAAACAAACCTGAAACTACTGAGTTGCTACATCACTTCAAAGCCTTGTAAGAACTTTGAATTTAATCTCCAAGAAAAATGAACATTATTCACCCTCCCTCCACTAAACAGAAACTCTCAAGTCTGGGTGGCAGGGATTACCCAGACAGCTTGCTGATACATGTGTTCATGGGTCCCAGGTTCAGGGCCACCAACAATGGTTTTCCGTACTGAATCACCATCATCATCACAGAATCACCTGGAGGGCTCAGACCGCCTGAATCAGAATCTTTGAAGGATAAGGACGAGAAGCTCATTTTTAAATGGCTCTCTAGTGACTAATATATAGCTCTGCTGAGAACTCCTATGCTGGAGTATAAATGCCTTAAAGGTAGGCAGAGTGGTGCTTCTTCCTTTGGGACTAAGTTCATCACCATGCTCAACTCATCACTTCTCCAATGCCCAAGTATTTTAATTCTCACAGGTATCGTCACTCCCTCTTCTATCCCCAACTCCCTAAACCTGGCCAACTTTCATATTCCCCTGGTCTAGATCCATCATCAGTTGTGACACTCATGTCTAGTTCTCACATCAAGATCTTAGCACTTTATCTGATCTTCTTAAACTTCCGGGTACATAATTTTCATTCTCTGATCACATATTACTCTTTGATATTTTTGATCTTTCCTTTAAGCAGTCAATTAACATTGGTTGAGTAAGCAATGACTGTTTCAGTAACTTCTTTCAGCAAGGGAGCTTAGTGATTCCCTCCTACCACTGAACTACTAACACTGGTCATCCTTTTCCTTTCTACCTACTTAAATCCTACATTTCCTTCAAATCTTAGTTTAGGTTACTACCATGCAGCATTCTTTGGTTCCCCCATACACATCTTTAAACATGTGAGGAGACATAACTATCTAAAGGGTACATGGTAAGTAGGTATTTGATTAACTCACTCCTTTACAATACTGGCCATCCTTAACATACTTATGAATAACTTTAATCAGTAAAGGCCAATATGCCAAAGGAGTTTCTAATTACACGTCAAGGAACTGGCAGCATCTCGCAAATCCAGATGCAGCAGTTTAACTTTTCTTAAAGTATATTCCACAAATAACCATCAACAAACAACTAGACAGTTTGAGTGGATTTACAACAGCCTAACCTTGCTTCCATTCTGTAAAAGGTGCATAAAGTATTTCCAATTAGCCAGTAAGTTAATAAAGTGACATATACTACTAGAATTTTCCTATGGAAAAAAGGGTAACAGCGCTGCCTACAAACAATTGTCTTATGGACATCAGAGGGATCAGACGGGTTGAACACAGACCTTCACAGTTTCCTTAATCTTCTGCATGATTTGATTCTGGAGGGAAGCTTCACAGAGAATATAGTCAGGAGCAATGCATGTCTGACCACAGTTCATCAACTTTCCCCAGGTTATGCGTCTGAGGAGGAAAAAACCCAGAAGAGCTAAATAATTCAGTCAAATTTACAATTGTTACATTATTTTTGTGGTGGTTGAATGTTTTCCAAGAAAAATGGATTTAAATATTTATCCGGTAATCTCTGACAAAAATAAGCCCATCTCTAAAACAGTTTGTTAGACTGCATTTTCCAAAGGAATTAAAATATTCTAAGTACTATAGTAGGAAAGTTCTCAGCTTGTGAGAAATAATACTTGATAATCAGTGAAACCATTACCTGCTGCAGGAAAATGAAAAAACATCTTTCCAACACCCCTTCCCCTCTCTTCTCCAGCTAAACAGCTATCCTGAATCACAAGAGCTCAGTTCAGACTCTGCCACAACTAGAGCTGTGGCTTGAGGACCTGCTGGCAAGACGTCCAGGGTACAGCTCACACCCACAACCACTTTCCTCTGTATGGAGTCTTACCTCACTTTGAAAACCCTTCCAGTGTATGGACACAACCTCACGACCACAGCATGTACTGTAGGTCTCTTGTTCTGGCAATGGCAATTCTACGAAGAGAGCTAACCTGGAACCCTGCCCTAACTCCTCGCCTTCCCCTTGCCTCCCCATGTCTGGAGGAGAAAGAAAGCCACAGCACCTGGTGCACAGGGGCAATTCTAGGTTTTAGTACTTCCTGTCAGCTAAATGAGGCTTAGTAGAGGTGACCGGAAACCTCTCATTTTCTAATTCCCAGCTGCAAGATGCTATTCAAAGTTAAAAGATAAGTAATACTGATTTTTGCCAATAAAAGATCAATATACTATCATTTCAATTGAGAATTTAAATATTTTATTAGGTATAGGCAAAATTTTGTATTATGTACTTCCTGATCAGTGACTATTTGATCATTAAATTTCTTGCCAGAAAGAAATTTTCTCAAAAATAGAAAGAACATTCCCAAAATTCCTAATGACAACCACACTGATAAGAGGACATGCTATTCAACAAGACAGTTTGTGAAAGACTTCTGTTACTCTTGAGCATATCAACCACAAAAGCTTAATGATATATTTTGAAGCCATAAAGAGATAGGGTTCAAGAGCAAAGGATAACATCAACCTACTAGGAAAACCCTCAACTGTGTAGGGAAAACCTCAGAAAACCAAAGCCAACCTCACCTGCAAACAACATCTAGGTCACAATCTTTATCGACATAACATGGACTTTTCCCTCCCAGTTCAAGTGTCACAGGGGTCAGATGCTTGGCAGCAGCTGCCATGACAATTTTTCCAACTGCAGCATTTCCCGTATAGAGAATGTGGTCAAATCGATGCTTCAGAAGCTCTGTGGTTTCCTCAGCACCACCATTAATAACAGCATACAGGTCCTCAAAGAAAGAGAAACATGTATTTGTACTGCCGAATTAATCCTTCTGTGTTCATTAGTAATTTCTTTAACATAACAGGTAAATAAAACTGGAAAATCTAGACCAGTCCCTGTGAGGGATAAAGAGGGAAGTGACCAAAGAAAAGCAGAGAAAGTTTGCTGGCATCTAGGAACCATCAACCTACATGAAACTAACTGGAGAGTGCAAAGTTTCAATATGAGTACAAATGCTTGGCTGTGAGCAGGTAAATGCATGAGATGGGTGTGCTGTGGAAGCTGAGAATGTGAGTAAGAAAGTAGCTGTTGTCCATAACCATGCAGCAGGTCACAGCTGCAGATCTTAATTTGAATTTTTTTTTTTTTTTTTTTAAATACAACACAAACCAGGGCTTAGCCCAAAGTAGAATTCCTGTCTGGGCTCTGCCACTCACTAGCTTATGCAACCTTAAGCAAGCAACAGTTCTGCATCTCAGTTTTTCTTATCTGTTATTAGGAGAATTCCCATGGCTTCTATGAACTGAGCCATTATACGTACTGTGCTATTATTAGCAGCTATTCTAAAGGAGAAAACACTGGATAATAACAGCATGAAAAGTAACAAATGAGAACAAATGGGAAGCAAGGGAGACAGAGGGAGAAGCTTAAAACATCCTGAATTGTGAATATGAAATAAAAGCTGGCTTGTGGACACTGTGTTTCCATTTGATCTCTTGCTCTTTGAAAGGCTGATTAGTTCTTCTTAGTTTAACCACATAACATGTGGCAAGTTTTAATTTTTCTAGGGCTTAACCTAGAAAAAATGTAAGACTGATTCCCTGATGAGCTAACAGAAGCAGGTAGGACACTGTCATCCTCCCCATCTGGATAGAGTCAACCACTGAAGACTTTACCTCCGAGTAGGAGCAAAGCAGGACCTTCCTTCCATCTGCTGGCTCTAAGTCCTACTCAATCCATGACATCTCACTATCTTCCACTTTATCCTTCCAGAGTGGATAACCACAACTATTAGAACAAAACTGTTCTGTGGTCTGCTGTAATAGTGACATGATAACAAAGAACAGTACTATTCAAAGAGGCAGAGTTAGTCTCAAGACCGTTCATTATAAATGAACATGTCCAATATAGCTAGGATGTTCATCTTTTACTGAAAGCTAAATGAAGACTCCTTCCTGCTGCAACTGTCTATACAAATTCATCATAAACTTCCTCTCTAGGAGGACAAGAGAACCTCTGATACAAAGAAATAAACCACCCCACAGCTCAGGAAATCACTTTTTTATTTAGCCTCTGATACTCTATAATGCCAGCATTTTAATCCAGTGTAACGATCCACCAGCTAGTTCAGGAGGCCACTTTCTGCCTGTATTTTTCATACCACAAACACACAAATTTTAAAAGCTAAAGTTCTCCTATATAATATTATAGCAGTCTGATAGAAAAGAAATTGTCAGTGACAAAAATATGCTAGCACTGTGGCAAAAATATGCCAGCACAGTAAAAGCCTTTCATTAACTAATTCACTAAATGACTAAACCTAAAACCATGTACGTGTGAATAAGGATTAATCTGAAATGCCAAATGATAGAAAGATCTGTAAAGAGATATTTATGAAGCCATGGGCCTAAATATGCTGTGTAACAACCACAGCTGGGTTGTTACACAACACACTTTGCAACAACTTCTTTTATTAAGCCCATTGATGGCCGTGTAGGGAAACTGCCAACAACCTCTCAGCAAGCAACAACAACCAGAAAATCAAACGTGTGTTTTCCATAATAAATAGGTATGTTGAAAACGGGTTAAGATAAGTCTTACCTGGTCTAAATATTGAGGGAGGAGCTTAGCCAAGATCTTGGCTGTATTTTCACTTAATTCAGAAGGCTTGATAACTGCAGCATTTCCTAAACAAAAAAATTAAAGGGTATCATTTAATACTTAAGTAATTTTAGTGATTACCAAAAATAATGCCCATCGAGACAGTACAGGCTAGGTACAATACTCCAATTATTTCAGGTCACCAACAACAGGTTCCATCATCCTCCAGCTTCTATCACGTTTCTCTTACTTCTACCCTTGGATTTTCCTCTCTGCCCTCAATTATTAAGCAGGCTATGTCAATAAAAAGCTGTCCATCTGGATCCTCCAAAGAAATTAATCTCTAGTCACCTGCTAATCACCTGCTAATCACCTAAGCAGTGCTGCACCCACAACCTTTATCTAAATAAAGAAACTGGTCTGGTGGAATCAGATGGTTGGCCCAAGCCAGAGATAGCAGCTGAAACCGTATTTGAATATGGATACCTGCCTTCAAATTCTTCTGTCTACAGAATCAAATGCCTTTCACCTATTCACAGGTGCATCCCCTGAATACCTCAAAAACTAATCACAGAACTATTTTATATATACATATTTCTGCTGGCAAGGCATACCTCCAAAATAAATGAATTTAATTAACCATTATCCTCAGTTTACAATCAACACGAACAAAATAAGCCCCTCTAGAAAGGTATAAAGACATAACTGGCACCACACCTGCAGCGATGGCTCCCACCAGGGGCTGCATGGCAAGAACAAATGGGTAGTTCCAAGCTCCAATAATCAGTATGACTCCCAGAGGCTCTGGTTGAACACAGACCTCATCCAGCATGGTCAACAGGCTCCTCTTAGCTGGTTTAGGAGTAATCCATTCAGGAAGATTCGCCAGCATAAAATCAATTTCTCCAAGGATGGTAATGACTTCCTGACTGTAAACATTGAATTCACTCTGGTAAAAAAAAATCACAGTTAACCTTGCAGAATGAGTATGATATACGTGGCCCTGAAGGTCAAAACCTCAGACCAGATGCATATGTCTTATCAGTCTAGCGAGTTTGCTATAGATGGACTCCTTCTGCGCCCTCTTAAACTTCCTAATATTTGCATCGCCTCTGAATCCTTCCATACTGACCCAAGCCCTTTAAAACTAGCCTTAAACATTACCTCTTTCACGAAGACTTCTCTGACTAATAGCCTGCTTTGATCACGCTTTACACTGCAAAGATGCTGCTTACTATTATGATATCTTACCATTTCATCCTTAATATACGGTTTATAACTACACTCACATTTTATGTATGATGTTCTTTCTCAACTAAGCTTAAAACTCTCAAGGGAAGAGAATTTGTAATTCTTCAGTAATTATAAACACAAATATCTGATGCTTGTAGAAAGAATGATTTACAGGCTTTTGTGTCTTAATTTCTCCATCCTTTCTAGTTACTATCACAGCCCCTCTCCACCAAAAAAACACTTTAAGAAATGTTATAGTTACGGGGCTGGGGATTTAGCTCAGTGGCAAAAGCGCTTGCCTGGCAAGCGCAAGGTCGTGAGTTCGGTTCCTGGTACCGGAGAAAAAAAAAAAAAAAAAAAAAAAAAAAAAAAAAAAAAAAAGTTATAGTTACAACTATTACTACTATTGCTATCACTATTCCTTGAAATAATCTTTGGGGGAGGGGATAATCATAAACCCGGAGGAATGCCTTGCTAGGCCTGAATGCACATAAAAAGACGAAAGAAACATTAGAAAATACAGGGAGTACTGTATATCTATCTTAAACACTTCTTAAAACTTTTGTTATTCGAAGTGTGCTTCCAAAAGAGGCAGCAAGGTATCCCCTGGAACCTCATTAGAAACTTGGAAACTCTAATCCCACCCAGACTAGCTGAGCCACAATGTGCAATTTAAGATCTCCAGGTGGTTGTCAGAGTACTAGAGTTTGAAAAACACTGACCTAATACTGTCCCAAACAAAGTCATTAGGAAAATATGACTGAAATGATAACCGAAAAAAACACTGTCTACAAAGGAAACGAAAAAGAAAGTTAAATGTCAAGAAACAGACCCGTCAAAAAATATATGCCGTATCCAGGGCTGATAAATTACTAACATCCAGACAAATCGTAAGTAAACGGACCCTAAATGTAACAGAAAAATGCGCAAGAAAACCACAAATACAATAATTGCAATATAAAGACAATTCGTAGAACTACGGAGGCCAGGAAGCGCATGCAGTTCCAGCGTATCCGCGGATAACAGGTAGGCTCCGCGAGGGCCAGGCGCCGGGAAGGGGCCGGAAGCCGGCGGGCCTCTGTGCGGGACCGGCACCGCGCACAAGTAATCAGCACCGGAGAAGCCGAAGCTCGGGCGCAGGCGGGCCCGGGCCCCGCCGCGGCCGCGCACCTTGCACAGGTCGGCGCCGATGGCCACCAGGAGGTCCTTCTCGTGCTCCTCCACCATCCTCCGCAGGGCCGCGAGCTGCCGGAGCCGGAACTGCAGCGGGCGCGAGCGGCCGGACCGGAACGCCTGCCGCACCCGCTGGACCTCGCGCTCCATGGCGACGCCGGGGGAAGGCGAGCGCCGCGCGCCGCCGCACGGGTGCGAGGCTGGAGAGAAGCGCCTGGAGCGCGTCGGCCGGCCGCTCCCCGCGCTTGTCTCTCCCGCTTCGGGCCGAGTCACCCGCACCGGCCGCAGGTTCCACTGCCCAGCCGGCGCCGCCGCACACAGAGACCGGCGGAGGCACCGAGCCGCGCGCCCATTGGCCCGCGCGGTCACATGACCGCGAGGCCCCGCCCAGCGCCTCGGGTGCCGCGGCGAGCTGGGGTGGGGGGCGGGCCTGGGCCGCGGTCCGTACGGTCTCCGGCGGGAGGGGTGTCAGGGTGCGGCGGTGCAAGGCAAAGGATGGCGGCGATGGGGCGAGGAGCCTCAGGGTGGATTAAGAGAAAAGTCGCGAGACGCGAGGGGAGCGCGAGCCGCAAGGGGAACCCGACGCCAGACTGGAAGCGCGCCGGGCACCCCGACGCCCCGGCGGGGGTGTCTGCTTCCGGCTCCGCCCTGCGGCTGTTCAGATGTGGCCGAGAGTTGGGAGCGTGCGGGGCGACCTTGGGCCAGGCCTTTCCGGAGGGCACAGGACCCACCTTCAGCCCATCCCTTGTCCACAGCGCCCTTCAGCCCCGCGCCTTCCTCTAGGAAGTCCGCAGCGTGAACTGGGTGCGGCAGGAACGCCTCTTAATTCCCTGCATGCTTAGGCCTCTGAGGGCAGGAAGCCAGGCCTTCCTCTGCTGTCATCCCAGGGTCTTGCACACAAGCGTTATCTCCCAGGCTTGTATTTTCCCCCCCCCAAATTCTCCCTAGTGTTCAGATTATCCCATTTTTCTGCTCCTCTTTGTGGAACTCCAAAGAGGAACTCGCACTCCGCAGGTGTTTCTGTCCCAGGGTGCCATTCCAGTGAGTGGTCTGGTAGCAGAAAAACCAAGAGCAATCCAAACGGAAGAGCCTGCAGCGAGGAGTTAGGAGGCAGCTTTTGTTAGGCTAGCGGGCTGGGGAGCCCAGAGGCTCAAACCACCAGCCCAGGGTCAGGTTTGAGCTCAGTTTAAATACAGTTTTCAAGTGGGAAGTACACAGCTGACAGCAGGTTATTACATGATTGGTTACATGGAATACAAGAATTATGTCATAGATTGTCAGGCAGGTTTGTACAGGAACATTCTGGGAGGGACGGGGTCTGAGAGGAGTAGGTAGAGTTGAAAGTGGCCTTGACTGGACCAGTCTCCCCCAAACGTGACTCCTTGAAGCAAGTTGGAATCACTGCATATTTTAAAAACACAAGCTGGACACAGTCAGTTTGACCCACATATGGTTAAGGGGGAATATAACTGGGCCTACACAGTTAGGCTACATGAATGCAGCGTGCAATATGATAGGCAGCATGAGCATAGTCATAGGCTATGAACTGATTTCTAACTTTGGCTGTCATATGCCTACAAGTCTCTGTTCTATAAGGGTGCCCTAATAGTCTCATGTCTCATCTTGCTCTACTCAGCGGCAGTTGGCACGGCTGTCATTCCCGTCTCCTGGAAATTCTTCGTCTTCCATTTTCTTCCACTCTTCTGGTTTTCCCTTTGGCTTCCTGAGCCCTCTGGATTCTGTGTTACTGGCTGTTTCTCCCTCTCTGAAGTCTTAAGTGTTCAAGTGCACTCGGACTTACTCTTTGGTTCTTTATTCACACACACTCCCTCGGCTAATCACATGGATAGTGGTTAAAGAAGGCTGCAATCCTGACCTTTCCACTAAATTACAAAGGGTGAAGGTAACTATATCCTAGTCATCGCATTTGTATTTGCAATAGGCATCTGTCTTGGTTACTTTTCTCTTGTTGCTGAGACAAAATACCCAACGCCCAAGATGAAGGAAGGAAAGGTTTATTTAGCTTACAGTTTCTGGAGGTTTCAGTCCATACTTGGCTGGCTCCGAGGCAGAAGATAGCAAAGCAACAAGAGCAAAGGGGGGAATGGCAGCCAAACAGCAACGCAGCCAGAGCAAAAGGGAGGAATCGAGGCAAGCAGCTTCTTTCCCTCCTTTACATTGTAAACAGGCTACCCCCACCTAAGGGGTGCGTAGCTGTCACATAATCTCCATGCCCTCCTCTTCCACAAGCTCAGAATGTATACAAAGTAAGCACCCTGGCTTCCTGCTAAGTCACTTAGCTAAACCTCTGGACTCCCCAAGTTGACACAATGTATCAACCATAACAGGAGGCTATCTTTCCTCCAGTATATTATGTCAGCTCCTTAGTCAAAGATTAGATGGCTACTTGTACCTAGGGTTGTTTCTACATACAAATGCTAGCTTGCAAGAATCAGTTTGGCAGTACTCCTCCCCCTTCAATTTCATTAAAGAGTTTGAGGAGTGTTGGCATTAGCTCCTCCTTGAAGTTCTCAGAGAAATCTGTGAGTCCATCAAGTCCTGGGCTTTTCTTGGTAGGTTTTTATCACCAATTTCATAGCTTGTCATTTGGCTCTTCAGGGTTTTTATACCTTCTTGGTTCAGTTTTGGTAATTCATATATGTCTAGATATGTATCCATTTCTTCTAGATTCTCCAATTGACCAAATACATGTTTATTGGAGTACATGTTTTTGAAAAAGTTAGTAATGATCTGGATTTTGGTTGTGTTCTTTTAAATTTCTAATTGCATTGATATGGATCTTATCTTTCCTTCTTTTGGTAAGTTTAGATAAAAGTTTGTCTACATTCTTTCAAAGAACCATCTCTTTGAGTCATTAATTCTTTGTGCTGTCTTTTAAATCTCAATTTCACTAATTTCTGCTCTGATCTTTATAATTTCCTTCCTTGTACTAGCTTTGGATTTGAGTTGTTTCCTTGAGGTATGTCATTAGGTTATTTATATGGGCTCTTTTTCTGATGTGGGCATTCACAGCTTGAATTTCACTGTTAGGACTGCTCTCATTGTGCCCCATAAGTTTTTGGTATGTTGTACTGGCATTTTAATTCTAGGAACTGTCTAATTTCTTCTTTGATTTCTTCTGTGACCCACTGATATTCAAGAGAGTGTTGTTTAATTTCCATAAGTTGAATAATTTGTGTGATTTCCTTTGCCAGTGATTTCTATGTTTCACTGTAATATGATCTAATACTATGCATGGGATAATTTCAATTATTTTGTATTTATTTAAGCATGCTGTATTAGCTAGTCCCTTAAGCAATAAGTAGTGACCTTCTTTGCCTCTTTTGATCAGTTTTGGTTTGAAGTCTACTTTACCTGAAAATGGTGGATAAGTACTCCTGTTTGCTTTCAGGCTCTCATTGCACAGAATAAATACTGTTTTCTATCCTTTTATTTTTAGTCTATGAATTCCATTTTGGATTAAATGTGTCCCTTGTTTGCAAAATACAGTTAGGTTTTGTTTTATGATCCAGTCTGTCAACCTATGCCTTTTGACTGGGGATTTGACACAGTAATAACTCTCAATATGAAAGCTACTACTGTCCCACCCTTAACAATAGAAGAGATCTGTAATAATCATATAGCCACAAAGACAAACCAAATATTGACATACAGTATCTAATAATGCAGCAACTATACCATTAATAATAAAAATGAACTCAACAATAATAGCATAAATTATATATCTAAACATTAATAAAGTAATCCTATAAAATGGAGAGGGAGGGGAAGGGAAAATGCAAGAAGGACAGTTAGAAAAGTAAAGTAAAGGAAAATGAAAAGGAGGAGAGAAAAATTCAGGACCTAATTAAAGAGTAAGAAAAAAATTAATAGAAATAGATAAAACTAACAGAGAAGAACAAACAAGAAAAAGAAAAAAGAGACTAAAACAAAGAACAAATGAAAGGAAGAAAAAGAAACAATCCCCTGAAAAACAACAGAGAAAAAGAGAAATGAGACCAAAAAATTCTTCCATGTGTTTAAATAAGTGCCCCAGCCAGGTGCTGCAGGCTTGGAATCCACCAGACCTGTGGAGGGACGGTGAGTCAGGACTGACCCCTGTTCTGTTCCCGCACTCACTGCTGTGCGTGTGAAAGTCACTCCTGCCCCGCCTTCCTCACGCGGTGGAGTTGGTCAGGGTCAGTGGTGTGATGTCTGCGCAAGTGTTATGGAAAACGATACTGAGAGGAAAAAATTGTTCTTAAAACTTTTTTCTCTTCGAAGCTGCCGAGCTCTGAACTGTTTCATGGCTCTGTAATTGCTTTCGTGACCCCTGTAACCATGAGAGCATGATCAAACCTAATCGTATCAAGCTTTGCAGTCAGTAATCTAGTCTTGTGAGGGTCATTAATCTAGCCCTGTAATGATGGTCTCACCCTGTTAGCTAATCAGAACTGTTCTGTCCCACCTTTGTAACCCCTGCTTATGCCTCATATAAAAATGCTGGCTCACAGATACTCACTCACTGGCTTCTGTTGGAGTTGTCCTAGCCAGGACCACTGGTGCAAAATAAAACCTTTCACTACCTCCTGACTTCCTCAGGTGTCCTTCCTTTCCCAGACTCAGTTTTGTGGCAATGATACTAGGCTTTTTCAGACAGCTAAGGAACCAAGAGTGCACTTTGGAAAGGCAGAGAAAGATTTTTATTTGGCTATGCTGGCTCAGAGAAGCTCATACTTTGTGACTTCTGAGCCCCAAAGATAGTGTCACAAAGGTCTTTATTAAATCTGTGGCAGGGAAAAAAACAAGCTCAAACAAAGGCAGTTATTCAGCATGCCTTTGTATCTGGAGACCAGTTTAAAGAAATGTGTCTGATTGCCAAATTGACAAGGGGCATCCACCCCCTGTCAATGTTGATACATCGTGTCAACTTGAAAAGTTTAGAAGTTTAACTAAGCAACTCAGCAGGAAGCCAGTGTCCTCACTTTGTAACATCCTCATCCTGTGCTAGAGGAGGGCAGGGAGATGGTGTGAGTGCTACACCCGCCCTAGTGGTGGTAGCCTGCTTACACTACAAGGGAGGAAAAGAGGCTTGCTCTTCCTCGTTGTGCTCCTGTTGCTTTTGCTGTATTCTGACACCTTAAAGGCATGCCCCTGTGCCATGCCGCCCTGCCTTGGAGCCTGCTGATTACGGACCAAAACCTTCACAAACTGAGCTAAATAAACCTTTCCTTCCTTAATTTTGGGTGTCAGGTAT